AACCTCATATCTTTCGAAAAGGATGGAGGAAAGGATACTCAAATAGTTTAATGGAAGGTTTTACGTCTTCCAATCCATGCAAGATGTTTGATGAGCATTTTTTAACTTTGAGTGCTTGACTCTGCACCCATAATGTTCTTTTAAAATAGTTAATGAATGTGACAATACATATTAAAGGTGATTTGCATCAGAACTGCAATGGGTTAAAGTGTATTTATGGCATCAAGCCTGCTACATTTGGTATGTGTTTCAGTGGACTTTGTCTAAAAAGGTAAATATTAGAAACTAAGGGTGAGACTTAAAAAAAAAAGATTCGTCTTTGTCCTAATAAATTAGTGTAAAGGCTTTTGACATTCCCTACTTAAATGTTGGACAGATGGCGATATCCATTGCATAGTTCACTTGTTTTAGACTTGTGAAGAGGGGGAAAAATTCCCTGTTTGAATTTTATAACTGACTCAGTAGGCCACAATATATAACTTGATATTTTATTTGTTTTTAGGAAGATTGTCATATTTATGAAGTGGCATAAAAATACCTATTGGCTCTTACAGTTTATCTGTTTAATCCTGATTTTTATCTGAACTCTAAAGAGTGAGGTGAGAGACTGTCGTATGTAATATGAAGAGATTTGCAAATGAGAATCATTTCCTTCAACTTCCTATGTTTCAGTTTTTAAGGGTAGAACCTAGTCTTTGTCAATGTATCAATACAGAATAGTGGACAAAATTGAACTTTGTCACAGTTGTGTAACATGCATATGCAGTGAAATATACTGAAGTTTATAATGTGCTAGAAATGTTGCAAAAGTTCAGCCAAGGTGTTGAAAAGGATTTAACAAATCAATAGTGAGAAAATAACCATCTTTCAGTTCATTTTAATAAAGTATTTGTAAAGACCATTTCTAATAAAGTGAAACAAAGCTTGAGCAAATATAGCTTGCTTTCAGGTTGGTCAACAGTTGCTGAAGGGACAAGTGATAAGGATTGTCTGTGCAACAGTTGGAATCTGCTTTTTGAAACTTTAAGTGGCAAAAATTTGTCTAAAATATTTTAATTGCAGAGATTATATTAAACTGATCATTTTAGTGATACATTTGTAGGCTTCTTGAAACCAGTCACTAGGACAGGCAATTTTTAAAACAAAACTGTGGATTTGCAGTTCATCATGATTTTCTCTTTTACAGAGATTGCTCAGAATATTGTCATCACAGGCAAGTTAGAGATCACTAATGCTTTTTTGTGTAAACCTTGCATACCAACAAATGTTCTTTACGCTTGTTGAAATAGAAAATATTTGCTTGAAATTGGTTGTAAAATGTAAGTATGAATAAGTTATAAATTAAGTAAATTTTCATTTGGTCAGTCTTTTTGATTTTATCAGTTTCTCTCTCTTAGCTTTGTAATTTTTAGAGTAATTTTTAAATAACTAAATTCAGTTCTTGATTAAAATTAAACTTTCCTGAAACTTGGATGTCAATGTATTACAAAATGGCATAGATCACTTTGGAACTACAGCAGCCTGATAACATCAGCTGCATTAAAATAATTACATGATTGTATACTATTTTTTCCATGGGACACCTGCCTCAATTAGTGCACAGGCTGCGTAGTGCTCATTGAATTAGCATCTGTTCAATATTTAGTTTTATCCTCACTGTTCAGTGTGTGGCCCCAGCCCTTATTTATAACACATTAATTGAATCCTGCTCTAAAGACAGAATTACTAATTTGCTCACGGTTTTTAATGCTGCTTATCACTGTAGTATCTGATTCACAAATATTAATGACGTTATTTTTCACAATGTGAGAAGAAGAAATATCCCCATTTTACAGATTGGGAACTGGAGGAGTGTGAGATTCACGTCTTGGATTGTAAACTTTTTGAAGCAGGAACCATCTTGTCATGTATTTATACTGAGCCTAACAAAATGGGGTCCTGGGCCATGATTAGGGTTCCCAAGTGCGGAGTAGTACAAATATGTCCAGTATTTTAGGTGCCACATTTAAAATGCATAGGCCTTCATTTTTTTGGTATTTATCATTATATAGCTATTTGTATGTTTGAAGCGCAGCTTGCATTGACATGAGTTGCTGCTGTAAGTGTTCCGCATTTCAACAGATCAGATTCCAGGTTGTCAGATTAGGTGCCCAGAAAATGAACACAACTACAGCCACTTTCGAAAAGGAACTCTGGCAGAGGCAGGGATAGAATTGTATTCTCCAGAACTATATTCAGCTGCCTTAGTTGTGAGATCATCCACTCTTTCTATAGTCCCTAGCCTCATTCATTATGCATTTTCCAATTTCTCCAAGAAATGAGGCAGAGATCCTACAAACAACTCTTTGCTGCACAAGACGGATCACTGAGGAATGGGCCATCACACGTAGTGAATGAGGTGGATTATATGGGAAAAGTAGCACGTGATCACGTAACTAAAGACTTGTCACAATTCACACACACAAGGGGAAGAGCTAAGGCTATGCCAGATGCTTTTAATTTTGACACTTCCTAGCTCTTGAGTGTTTGGCTTTACAACTCGAATAATCTTTTTAATGTATTTCTTGTGTATAATTATAGCCAAGTTAGAGGACACCCATTTTAGGGATGGAAAAAATGTATTAAAAACATTGGTTACATGATTTTAAAAAAAAATCTATCCATTACATGGTTAAACAGTTATCCGGGAACCTAAGGGGAAGGAGAGAGAGGTGCTGGAGGGGTGCTCATGTGCCCAGGGTCCTGGCTACTGGCCCCTTACTCTTCTACTGTCTGGCATCCCAGCGCGCACAGGGTCGCGCCACTGTTTGCATTTGTTTCAGCTTTTCCCTCTTATTTTGATGGTAATATAGATGAAATACTCAATAGTTGTCCTAGTTGTCTATTATCCTATCCTCTATCCCTGAAAAGTATCAAGTTTGACAGTCTTCACTCTACTCCCAACCCCTCCAAAAAGAGAATTAAGAAAATGTCTCTCTATAAAGCAACACTGTAAAGCCTATGAGCCAGACAAGCTTAATCCAGGTCTTTGTTACAGAGGTAACTGTCTTTTTTACAAAATTAATTCAGATCTTACTAACTTGACTTCTGTTCACATGTCTGTTTGATCTGAAAATAATAGTGAGTTACAGCCAAGATGGTGGTCAGTCCTGGCATATGGGCCAAGGCCCAAGTGATGATTATGCTTGGCCTGATAACTTGACCACTTTGGTTTAGCCAACATCCTCTCAATCTAGTACTGATAGTCCTCTTGTGCCTTCCCAGAATTTCACTATGTGCCCAGAAGGACGAACACATGCACAATTCATTGGAAAAAAAAAATCAGTGACTCATAGGAATGTCCACTGAGTAGTCGTTAAGCAATTGCTTATTGGTTAACCAGTTGGTTATCAGTTAACCTACTAGATTGCTGCATCAACTCCCTGTCCCCTCCCTTTCCCCGGGGTGCTTTACATTTAAAATGTCGATCGGCAGGCTGGCTCAGTCCTAGCCTGCCAGTTCGAGTTTTAAATGAAGAGTATGCAGGGAAGACCCCTGCCAACCCGCCCTGCCGCTTCTATATCAGAGGTGGCCATGCAAGGCAGTAGCAGCCACTGTCTGCAGGGAGGCCCAGGCTCACGTGGACAGAAGCTGCTCCATGGGATGCCAGCGCAGAATCTATCCACGGAGATATTTCTCTCTCTCCCTCTTCCCCCCATGGACAGGGGCTGCTGCATTTAGGATAGCAGGGGGCTCCCCGGAAGTCGGGCTGGGAGCACACTGGCTGCCAGCCTGCCCCAGGAGGATTACTGAGTTATCGTGTAATCACTAAGAATTTTAGTGGTTACATGATTATTTAAACACTATTTCTAACATCCCTAGTGGCTTAGCTGCTTATGGTGATAAAGAACAATGGAATATACCCGCAAAAGTCCTAGTGCCTATACAGGGGTGAATAGTACTAGCGTGGACTCAGTAATTCAAGCATGGCTTTGCAGAATGGCCAGTTACACTTTTAGACCCAGAACCCTATCAGCTGAATTTACTTTACAGTGCAAATATATCCCCAACTCTTTAATTTGAGTGTGGTGGTGCTTTGAGGCTTGTCCACACAATATAACATGCACCACAGATATGAAAATTGTAGACCTCCCTAAATGCTCTATGTTGATCCTGCAGCCATACTCTAAAAGATAATCAGAACAGTCATGTAACATTTGAAACAGGACTAGTTCAAGCACACACTAGGATCCTGCCAGACCATGTCAGCATAGTCTATGCAAAGCAGTTAGCGCACTACAATTTACTCCCTTCTAGTATGCATTGCTGCACAGTAGGGGTGTAAAATCGCATTTCGGTAACTGGTTAAACGTAACATTTAACCGGTTAACCAACTGAACGGGAGGGCGGGGCTGGAGTGCTCCTCTCCACAATGAGTGGGGACTGCTCTGGTTGGATTGAAGCAGCCCCTGCCTGTGATGGGCACCTCTGGGGCTGCTCCGGCTCCCACTGGTTAACCCTAACCAGTAATTAAACATTCACATCCCTAGTACACAAGCCCTTTAGTCCTAGTTGACTGTCAAAGAAATAGGCTACAGCCCAAGTTAGTACAATTCATCAGCTTCTGACACAATTTTGTTGCATCTCAGCTGGTGTTTTACAGAGTGGCCAGGCTCCTGAGCAAGGCTAAATTGAGCACTGCAAAACTGTATTTTTCTCTAAAATATAATCCAATTGTTACAGCTTTGGGAGAAGATAGTGATCAGTATTTTAAAAAGAAAACTGAAAAATGACTGTCTGCATAATCTAAAATCAGTTTTCTTGTTTCCACAGCCCCAGATATTCTGGCCCCCTGAATTTTAAGTTATAATTAAATTATAAAGCCATGTTCAGCAACTGGAGACTTTTACTTGAACTCAGAAAAGTAAAACAAAATCAGTTAGGGCTAAGCTTCTTCCTAAATGTCCTCATTGTGCTTGAATGTTGTTTGTAGGTCATAAACGTCTGGAAATATCTGAAATGAGTTGATAAAGTAATTATAAGAGCACCTTCATTCTTAAATCTGCAACTAAACTTTTTACGTGATTTTTATTGATCTACTCAATTTTCATAACGGTCTATTTCTGGACCTTTAGCTGCAATAATTAGTACAATCAAAGCAACACTGATCTTGGTCAGTATTTGGCTGAGAAATGTCTAATGAAAACCCTATGTTCATGAGGAAGTAGTGTTTGTTAATAGTGATAGAAATGTAGCCGTGTTAGTCTGGTGTAGCTGAAACAAAATACAGGACTATGTAGCACTTTAAAGACTAACAAAATGGTTTATTAGATGATGAGCTTTCGTGGGCCAGACCCGCTTCCTCAGATCTGAGGAAGTGGGTCTGGCCCACAAAAGCTCATCATCTAATAAACCATCTTGTTAGTCTTTAAAGTGCTACATAGTCCTGTATTTTGTTTGTTAATCATTGAGTAGCTGTCTGATTTCAAATGAGATTTGCTGATATGTCTGGGTTGTTTAATGGCCTACAGAACATTCAGGACATTCTAAGATCCCATGTACTACTTTATATGGTTATAAGGTATTAATCTTGGTACCATAGTTAATTGTTGGTCCATCTATATTCCCCTTCAATTTTGATGACACCTGGTATTCTTCCAGTCTAAAACTGTTGTGTGGTGGTATAACTTTCTAAAATCCATTCCAGAAATAGCATTTCGCTGTTGGTGGGAGTGGCTTCTGTGTTTGTGGTTTGTCTAACACTGAGCGAAAAGATGCTGTTTAAATGTTAGTTTAAATGTTAGAACTGGAAGGGACCTTGGGAGATCAAGTCCAGTCCCCTGCCCTCACAACGGATGTTTTGGGTTTTGGAAAATAAAATGAAAATGTACGTGTTTCATTTAAATTATTGGTTTGGGGTGGGCCTGGGATTGAGGGTTTTAGTATGTAGGCTGCCTCAAGGGTGAAGGGATTTCTAACCACAGCAGCTTGATACCAGGTGAGAGGTCCCTCTCGATGGCTGCTGTAGCTCCAGCGGGCACAGCTGGATGAGGGGTGCATATCCTCTGGCTGAGGCAGGTCCAGCCACAGTGAGGAATGCAGCCAACTGTGCACTTCCCCTAGATCTCTTGGAACAGGAGGCAGTGTTGCCATACAAATTGAGGGGAGGAGGGGAGGCGCTTCAGCCCCCCCTCCCACACTAAAGGGTGCCTGGGGGTTGAGAGGCTCAGAGTG